ATTCACTAAAACGTTGCATGCTGCGTTTACATTTTTTCTCAGTATATTTATGTCGTGTTTTCAAGCATTTAAAAGTCTGATGTTAATGTTTATTCTGTGCCAATGAGACAAGAGAAGCTTTGTGTGGCCTCATCTCAGAACACCAAAGGACATTTTATTGCCTTTAAAACAAAACCGGCAACACAGGAGCAGATCTTAAGTCCTCATCTGGTCCTCGCAGAAATCTTCCGCTGCCTCGTGCACAATAGGTTGTTAATTCAGCGGCGGCCGCGCAGTCGCTCCGGCAAAAACAACTTCCCAGTTGGTAATGTAATCTCACACGCAGCCCAACCGAGGCTTACGTGATTAATTTCCTCCACCTGCTGCATGCATTCAAACTTGCCCGGCCTGAAACAAAATAAGCCCCACCCTCCCCAGCACCACCAGCTCTGTCTACCCCCACCGTGCCAACATAGGAAGTCTCTCGCAGACTCTATTGTTTTCCACTTTTCAAGGAAGTCTCTGCTGCGCATTCCTTTTTAGGAAGCGAATCGAGTCGGTGTTGTGTTGGTGTTCTCGTCTTGGGTCGAAGCAGAGCTCGGCCTCGGACGGGCGAAATGAATGAAAGGTTCTGACACGCCTCTAAACAACACCAGCGTCTTTATTCTACAAGCCCCTCTTCCAATCAGTCGAGCGATCAACCACAAATATATACACACATTTCCTGCGATCGTAATGGCATGTATATACAAATCAATCAGACACCGGACAAATACAGCGACATCAGGGGGGCATGCAATCACACACAAGCATGAAATCAAAGCCCATCTAGATAGCAGGAGGAGGGGAGAGGGAGCAGCGGGTCCTGGTTTACAACAGCCCTCCTCTTGTTTTTACTCAGAAAGCGTCTGCGGATAAGAAGCATCGCGAACAGGATTCTCCAAAAGTCTTTTCTCAGAAGGTTCTTTTTTTTTTGTTTTTCCACTTGAAAGTAAGCAAAGATTGTTCCTCCCACTGTGGGGCATCTCTACACTGTGGCTGGGATACTGTAGCTGCTCCTGTTGCTGATGTCAGCAGGTAGCGACGCCACGCTATCTCGCGTCCCATTGGTCGCTCTCCCCTCCTTGCCATCATACAACGACGCTCCGTCTGGAAGAAGATGATAATGGACGCTCTGAGCAGTTGGCAACAATTCATAATCAGTGTCATGTGCTATTTAATTAACTAACAACCCTCCGAACCCCAAACGCTTTGTTTTTGTTGTTGCTGTCGTTACATTTCCACCCACTGTGGGCTCATTTTTCACTGTACGTCTTTGGAAACAGCGCGACTGAGGCTAGAAGTCGAGAGAACTTAGAAACGTTCCCCTGTGTGGTTTGAGACCGTTATAATGATATAAGAACAAACACAGCCTGCAGTTCAACCAGAAAGCCCCCGATCTGTTTTTATCTGCTGCTGAGTCATTCGTGGTTTCATAGAGGAATGCAGAATCTGTTTTTAGTTTTTTTACTGATCTGCATTGTGTAAACTCAGCCTGCAGTTCGACCCAGTTGTGCAGAATTTTTAGTTTTTTGCAGAATCTGGTCAAAGCAAACAGGTTCTGTTTTGTTTTGAATCAAATATCTCAATCTGAAACTCATCGTTTTAAAGTTTCTGCAGATTGTTTTGGGGTTCAGAGGGTTTTTACTACCAAAGCTACTTCTACCTGCGAAAAACACATTTTATTTTTTTGTACCTCGGACAGTTTACTTCCTTGCGTTCTAACAACATCCTACGTTTCCTGCCTCGGCAGTACATGCTCAAACACAAAACACATGCAGGGAGGTCGAAGAGAGACAAAGGACTCGAACATAAACACACACTATGCATGCACATGACCTCCAACAGAACATCCACGGCTGAGAAGCAACATACACAAAGGTAGCTAGCTCACGTTAGCATGACGGCTACATGCGTATTAGAATGTGAATCATTAGGGCGGCAACAACGTGTTTAGACTGTTGAGGGAATGATCACTGGAGGACAGTGTTGGGGAGGTAACACATGAGAAAACAACTTGTTAGAGTACTCAGATTACTTTTTTTGTCACCTGATTCCTGCCCTACGATGGCACCTGCTGCTTAATTATTCATAACTTTAAGGTTTAATACGATTTAAATGGGTGGGTTGTATAAAAACTGACTTCCTGTACAGTTAGCATGAGCTGGGAAATTAGCTGAGAACTATCTTTTTGTACCGGGATTTAAACAGGTGTATTTCTGCCGTAAACATTTCAAAAAAAGGGGGTCAATTGGGATCAGCTCGCTTTAGGAGTCTGCCTCAAGTGGCCATACGAGGAACTGCGGTTTTGGCCACTTTAACACCAAGCAAAGCTAAGTTATGCAAATTAAGTAATTAGTTATTTAGCTACTTTTTCCAACCAACAATTAATTCCTGTTAAAACTATGTATTTCCCCACCCTTTGTAGAACAAACAAGCAAGAGCCAGCAAGGTGGCAGAGACGCCGCCGCAAAATTAACTTCCTATACAACTAACCTACATTCTCAGTTACTTTTTTGATGAATTTGGTTTTAAAATAATCCTATTTTCTGACATGTAGCGTAACAGGAAAGGCTTAGATTTTGTTAGGTCTATGGAAATACTAAACTTTGACTAGCGTCTTCTCAACAATGCCTACTCGTTAGCAGCTCGGTTAAGTTTAGGCACCAAAAGCCACTTGGTTAGGTTTAAGAAGAAGTTTGGGTTTAAATCTCATATTTAAATCTTCTCCTTTATTTTCTGGGTATATGATTGGTTGGATGTAAAGGACAGACATTAAAGCAATAAAATGAATCGCAAAAATACGTTAATTAAAAACGTATTGTTGGTAGCATGGCCTCTGAAACTGGAACAACTAACTTTTGGTACAAGTCAAGCTCTGGGGAAATTAAGAAGAAGATGCTCCCAGCATCAGAAGCACTCTAACAAGTTATTTTTTGAAAGCGACCCAACGCTGTGGGATGATGAGGTGACGACTGCTGAGGCCGGTTAGTGGCACAGTGACACACAGGAGAACAGTAAAACCGAGCTACCTGTGGCTGCGTTATAAACCTCTGTGTCGTGGGTTAGACTCACTGTTAAAGAGTCATCTGATTTAGGGCTCGAAGGCTTTCTGAGAAATGGTGAAAATAAAGTCAGGCAACGGTGACAGTCTGGACGAAAGCAACTAAAAAAACACAACAAAAACCCAACTGACATACATGAAGACGGCTGTACGGGTGGTTTTGCATGTTGTAGGGCTGTTTTTGTTTTAAACACGTTCTTCGTCTCGTTTGTTTCTCGTACGTTTTGTTGCTAATACTTAGCAGGCTACGTATATAACACCATTTACTAGCTTGTGATTCAACTGTTAAGATGTGAACTCAACATTCTTCAAGTTTTTTTATTATTTTATTTGAAAGTTAGCAGTTGTACTTTGACATTTTAGAAGATGTGCTTGTTTGCTTTCTTGACTTCGCTCTAATGTCTGTACGGTAGATACGAAACTTAAGTCTGGTGATTAGCTTAGCTTAGCTTAGCTTAAAATATGCTCATAAAGACAGGTGACATCAGAAAGCTGTTTGACTGCACCTTGAACAAACAAAAACTCTACTTGATTTAAATTACCGGATCTCCTGCTACTTGAACTTTATTTTAGGAAAGAGGAAGAAGTTGCAGGGAGCCAAATCTGGAACAAAGATTGTGTTGGTGAGGCCAAAAAAAACCCTCATAAAAACGTCCTTGAACTCAAAGTAGTCTCGGTAGAATTCATTAAGACCGAGATGTTCCACTAAAGACAACTTTCGTCACTCTTGAAGATTCCTGACATGGATGTTGGGCTCAGGTTGACAGAATTTAATGTTTGAGGTGAACCTGCACATTGAAGCGGTGTATCGCTGCACAAGGAGGCGACTTTAGATGGAATAGAGGCCAAATTTAAATCAGTTTTTTTGCTTTTTATTGACGAAATGGTCGGATGGACGGGTTCGCCCGCAAATTAACATGTTACATCTGGTTTGTTTGAATTGTACAACAAACTAAGTGCTACTTTCTGGTCTTATTGGACCATTTCATAGTCGCCTCTAAGCTTCCAAGTCGACTCCTATCTCAGGTAAGTAGTACTTTGTAAAATGTTTCTGTGGTTTTTAATGGTACGAACATGCAAAACAACCAGTACAGCGCTCCGACACCACCACTGCCAACACCTGGACCATCTAAGCCGGCCGCTAGAACTATACCCACTAAGCTCTGTCACATTCAGAAGAAGCAAGTAGTCGAGCCAACTCACACTGACAATTCAGCAGCTGCTTCTCTTTTACCTATAATAAGAAAGGAGAGGTGAGAAAAGCAAAGGGAGGCCGGTGGAGGAAGGTTGGCTCTCATACATAGTTAGACAGAAGAGGCCTGAGTTGCCGGCGGACTGTAGGTCTCTCTACCTCGCTTGGATTTGAAGTACAGCACAACAGCCACCGCCAGCACCGACACGATCAGCAGGCAGATGCCGCCGATCAGCGCCTTCTTCCACACCGCCATGCGAACTGCAGAGACACAGGAAGGACAGAGGGTCAGCGACAAACACTGTAAAAGCTTCAGAAGACAACAAACAAGCAACAAGCCAACACTTTGTTTTGCTGGGGTCTTCAAGGCCCAAGAGATGACGTTTTTGGTCTCTGGATCGATCACGGCTCCAAGTTTCGTTTCAGATTCCTGTAGTCACCCTGTTGAAGCTTCAACTTTTCATCTTGTACCATCATCAGTGGCAGAATTTAACGGCATAATACCCCAAACCGGATGACATTCCCATTGCTGCAGCACTACCAGATGTCTAGAAGTCATAGTGGACAAAGAACCTACGACTCCTAATCCGACACCATTCTCCTGGATAGAACACACTTAAATCCAGCGTGTTGACTTGAAAACTGCGTAACTCTGCAGTGCATCAAGCTTCACAAGCTCCCAGCGGTGGATCCCCATCGTGCACGGCATCATCGCCTGCTGCCGGTTTGGACGGCATGTTATCGGGTCGTCACCTTCAAACCTTCACGCTGGTTGAATTCCCCAGAATCCTTCAGCAAAGACGCCAGCAAGGAAACAACAAATCCCTCCTTAGCTGTGTGTTTAGTGCAACACAGCAAATACTAGGACACTTTGCGTGCTCTCACGGTTACGCCGTCCTGCTTTATCGTCTATTTTACGCTAAACGAGACCATAGTTTACACAAATAACATCATATTGTGTTGAAAGAGACTTTGGATTGGATTGGATTGGAAGATCTTTAGTTTAAACGAACAAACGATTAAAACAAATGGAAAAGAAAAATAAAAAATAAAAGCCAACTTCAATAGAACACACATTTGACTCGATAGGAAGAAGCTCAGGCTGGTCGAGTCCTAACCCCGTTCTTCACCATGAATAAATGTGAAATCCAATACAAGAAACTTAACAGGCAATACAAGAAAGAAAACTACTCCAATCAAGCTATTTAAGGAAACAGAACAAAACAAAACACACAAGAAAATGAACAAGCACCATTAACATCTGTACATGTCACATTCTCCTTCCTCATTTCTGTACTTTTCAAGGATATATCTTTTGTACATTTTTAAAAATTGCATTATATTCACACTTTGTTTGATTGTTTCGTCCAGACCATTCCACAAAACCACACCATAAATGGAAATACGCAGACTTTTTAAAGTGTTGTTCCATGTTTAATTTCCTTCTGTAGTTGTAACCCCCCCACTCTGTCTTTGAACAGTTTCTGGATGTTTACAGGTAGCAGTTTGGTTTAAACTAGCGATTGAGGCCATAAAGTAATGAGGAAAACGTGCACTGAGTGAACAAAGCAAATGACAAGTCGAGCCCTTTTCTGATAGACTTCTATACAATCTGACTCCTTCACGAAACCGGAGGTGTCGCCCCCTGCTGGACATGAGAAAGAATGCCACATCTGCATTGGTGTAGTTTTTCAGACATCCATCCATTTTATATAAACGTACGGTCTATCTCTGTGATTCTACTTGGCGGCCAGTTTGTCCTTGTGGCCACTTGTGGTATTGCAACTGCAGACAAACACCTTTTTTCCAAAAAAAAAAAAAAAAAAGATTTACAAAAGAGAAGCTACTGCCAAGACACCGCGAGCTGCCACTGAAGCTGGTAATGATTGTAAAAGCGACCCAGGGCCTAAAGGATGCCCAACTTATTGGGCATCCTTTAGGCTTATTTTGAATAGACGAGTAACACTGGATCAAGCAAATTCTACTTTTAGGAACATCGGCGGTCTGTGCTGAACTTCATCACCCATCAGTCTCACCTTCTACGTTGACCTCGTTGCTTCTGACGAGGTTCCTGGCGTGGTTGAAAGCCTCGCAGTAGTATCTGCCGCTGTGCTCCTTGGTCACTATGGGGACCATGTAGTCCTTGTGAAGCTCGTCGGTGGTGGTGGTGTTCAGCGGCTTGCTGTCGCCGACGCGGTACCACTTGAAGGTGACCGGCGGCGTGCCTTCAACTCTGCATATGAGGTTGAGATGACCGTCCTCTAAGATTTCCTGTAGGTTGGGGACGGCGGACAGCCTCGCGTGGCTCAAAGGCACTGAGGGAGGAAAACATTAGCAGACAATTAAAGTTTCATGGTGGGAATAAGACAAGCTGAGAACGTCGATACCACTCGCATGTCTGCTGTTAGCGTAGCGTAGCACAAAGGCTAGAAACAGAGGTGAACTGCTAGCTTGGCTAACTGTCACCATCCTACCAGCACATCGTAAGCTCAGAAACAAAACCGAGATATGATAGATAAATGTGTTTTGGACTATTTCCTGCCTCCTCTGGATGCCTGACAGCTGGTCCCAGCCATGAAACAGTCCGACACAGCATTTGTTTTTGTACAGATGAACCAAAGACTGTTACTCATCTAGAGAAAAAAACTGTAAAAATATCTGTAAAATAATTTTACTTTTACTGAAAATAGAGTAAGTTGGTGTAACTTTATGGTCACAAACCACAGAAGAACAAATGATGATTTGTAAAAGTACAGATAATATCACACAGTTTGGGTGATTTTTTACACATGTAAGGTAGTCGCCTGATTTTTTTTCTGTGCTAGCTATTATGTGTAATTTAACAAATCAGAGAAAATCTTTTGAATAATGTTTTTTTAATTCTGATTTTACAGTTAAAATTGCTAAATTTTACAGTGAAGCTTTGTAAAAGAACACATTTTGGATGTTTTGCCAGCTGTTCATGTAATTATCACTTTTCTTCTGTGATTTTATTCTGTGTAATTTGACTAAACAAGGAAAAAATCTGTAAAATAACAGTAAGTTATTGCTAAAAATTACGGTTAAAACATTATTTTTTTTTACAGTGTGCTGGTAGAAGGGCTTCATCGCACAGGGCAAAGCAAGCTGTTTCTACTCACGTCTGGTTTTTAATGCTAAGCTAAGCTAACTACATACACATAAGAATTTGTTACATGTGAACGGAGTGAGAGTCTTTGTTTGCATTAATGAAATAAAAAGAGTCAACCACATTATGCAGGAATATTCACCGATGACGGTTGCGTTGAGTCTCGGGCCGAGCAGCGGCTGACGGCGACCGTTGCTCGCCTCACACATGAACTTCTTTATCTCCTCGGGTCTGCTGATGCTGACCGTGAAGAGAGCTTCCTGGATGGGCAGCCGGACGCTGGTCGTGTTTTCCGGCATGTATTCCCTGAACAGGGTGTAGTTTATGGGCAGGCTGCCGCTGTCCGACTGGCAGAGGATCTGGATGGGCTTCCCGAGGATCGCTTTGCCGTAAACCGAGATCTTCGGAATGGAGACGGGAACTGGAGAAACAGAATGAGGGACAACTTTCACATTCTCAAGAAAATATAATAAAGCATCAAATGTTTGTATGACTTTGACGCTGCAGCTGGTGAAAGTGGCACTAATTTAAATTTCTTCACTCTCAGATGGGCTTGTAAATTTGTTTTTCCAGGGATCAATAAAGTCGTTTCTTCTCTAAACATATAAACAATAATTTTAAAGTATGAATCAGCCAAACATCAAAATTACAAAACAAAAGGACCTAAACTTCTACTTTGGACGGCTGCTAGCTAAACAACCACAGTACGCTAAAAACTGTTCTCAGGAAAGCGATCGTTAAACTCTGCTGCCTGTTTTATGTCGGACCAGATAATTACAAGAGGTCAGCCGGAGACGTGGTACCAGACAATACCGACATGTTGTATTTCAAGCTAACGCGGCCAAACTGCTGCAGCTGTTATGGAGCAACGTCGTCGTTTTTAGTCGTATTTCTCAGGTTTAGCTCCATTTTTGGTCTCCACCAATTTCTGAGCAAAAATATCCACCGTTTATTGACTCCATGCTGGAAATACTTATACTTAAGGTGTTAAAAATTCACATTAGACTCGATGTGATCCAAAATTAATAATAGATTTTATAAATTTGAAACAGACGTTTTGCAGTTTTAAAAAAATTTTAATGACCCGTTAATTCTGTAATGTCTAACGGAGATCCAAATGAAAAAACTTTATGCTCCTCTGTGCCTTGTGTTACGTTACAAATCACAAACCGGCCTAGAGAGAGTTACGTTAGCGGGTTTTTCCAAAACTCGAGGCCAATTATAGACACATTCACACGACCGGGAGCCTGTTGGGAAGAACCATTATTATTATTATTGATCTGCATTTAAAGAGGCGTCCGGCGGGCTCACCTCTCGGCCGAACGGTCAGCGTCTCGCTGTGCTTCTCGATGCCTTTGGCCCGAGCTGCACAGGTGTAGTTGAAGTCGCGCAGCGGCGCCTTGACGGAGAACACTCCGGTGTCCATGGGGTTCTCAAGGGGATGAAGAGTGTACGTCAGCTCGTTCCTCTGGATTCGTTCGGAGGCAAAGCGCTCACTGTTGCAGGTCAGCTTCATGGGTTCCCGTTGGAAGACTTCGGCGGGCGACATGGTGAGGGTTGGTGCAGAAAACAGCTCTGGGGGCAGATTTACAAAGTCAGCGTTAACAACAACACGCCGATTTATACCTTAAAAAAAAAGAGGCTTTTCCTCACCACAGAGAATCATCCACGCATATTGAGTTTTAAAATAGTCAGATTAATCTAATAATTAGTTATACTGTAGGGTTTGAGCCCTAATATTGAGTATAATCAGGTAAAGCTGTATGTTACATACAGTTTGTAGGTATTAAATCGTGATATTTGAATTACTCAGGCTCCTTATTGTCACAAATTTATGTAAGAAGTTTAAATAATGAGATTAAGACTCTACAGTGTTGTTTATGGCATGACTTTACCTAAATAACTTACATAATTATGGAACTTAACCTTAGAACCTTAACTAGACCTTATGGTAGTATAGTTTGGTGAAGTTAAAGCTAAACATTTACATAAATACACATTTAAACCCAACAAATCCAATAATAAATTCCTTTATTCTCCAATTAATCTGTCAGGTACCTTCTTGATTAGCTGATTAGTTGTTGGACCAATAAAACATCAGAAAATTGTAAAATATGTGGATCAGAGTTTCCAAAAAGCCCAACATGATGGTCCAAAACCCAAAGAGTACAGAAACAAGCACGTTGAGGATGGTGCATTGAAGTTTTTCTCATTAATAGCTGACAACTAGTTAATTAGTCTTTGCAGGTCGAGTACATTAAGGACAATGTAGTAACAGATTGGAGGTTTGAAGGACGTCAGGTCTCCTCCGTCCACTCACCGGTCACTGGTACCGTCCTGTTGGCGATCTTCACCACATTTCCCATCTCCATCCTGCACTCGAACATGAGCCCCGGAGCCTTGGCCAGAGCCACCATGCTGTGGTTGACCTTGTTGCTGCCGCTGCTGAGGAGCGACGTGCCTTCGCTCAGGTACAGCAGCATGCTGTCGGTGCTGCGCTGAGCGGCTCTGACGGAGCAGAAGATGTTCAGATGGTCTCCCTCGAAGATCTGGTGCTGCGGGGAAATCTCCAACACCGGTGTGATGTTGAGCTCTGTGGAGACAAGACAGATGAAGCTCCGAGGTCTCTGCGGCGCTCTGAGGAAAGCTGCGAAACTTCAGGACTCACCTTTGACTGAAACGGCGGCGGAGCTGCTTTCCTCGGACTTGTAGGAGTCGGGCCGGACGAAGACTGTGTAGGTGCAGTGGATCCTGTGGATGCCGACGCTGCGGAAGTGAAGCACGGCCTCCGCCTGGTTGGAGTTCACCTGCTTGTCCTGGATCTCTTCACCTTTGTCGTAGAAGTAGAAGAAAATGGAGCCGGTCTCGCCCGGCGCCGTGCACCTGGCCGTTAGCTCCTCCCCTTCAGTGACCACGCCCTTGTTGAGGTGGAGAACCGGCTTCGACAGGCCTGCAAACGCAACAATCAACACGAGAAATGCTGATCACGAAGGGAAGAAAAATGACCGTCGGCGAATGTGTGGGACTACGAACAGTCTCGTGTTGGCAGCAGATAGAATCATGAGGACATTAAGATTAAAATACAAACTGTTAAACTGCGGTTCTGTGAGAGCTTCAGCTGTTTGAATTGTTCTTGTTTGCTGGAGTGTTGGTTTGACCGAGACGCTATCTGAGGGTTTAGCTAGCAACGGAGCGCCGTGACACAGAGTTATGAGGTTTTTCCCAACACTGTTAATCAAACACCTGTAAGTGAATAACTGTAAAATTTCCATTTTTTAAAAGAAAAAACACAGCTACAAGATTTGTCGGGTTACAAACGGTTCGGTCTTCACATTTAAACCCGAGCAGCTGCGTGAGTTGTGCGTCGACTGTGTGACTGTTGTGTGGGTTTGTTGCACCGTGATGAGACTTCACAGCAGTGAATGAGTTAAAGCTGGTGTTCATGGACAGTTATTGGCTCCATGATGGAAACACTTGTTCAACATTAAAGATCGGGCATGTTTAGAAGATTTCACAGCAAAGTCCAGTGTAAAAAATTCACATTACACTTGATAGGATTTAAAATTAACAGCAGATTTTTGAAATTTGAAACCAAAATACTAACAAAGCAAATAAAAATTTCTATAATAAACACTTAAACCATGTTGTCTTTTTAAAAAATCCTCAAATTACGTCATTTAGTTAGAAACTGTAAAAACAGACAAAATTGTTGGATTTTGAACTTTTTGATGATCCTTGTGGGATTCCATCATGAAAAATGAACCAAACCGAAGCTTAAACTCCTGATATTTGAATAAAATTCCCTTTATTTAAACAAAATACCAAAAATGAACCATTGCATGAACAAGGTTCTGCAAACAAAACAAAGAACTTTAAACCCTGACACAAGCGACCGGGTTGTGTAGCTGCTGCTGGTTCAGACGACTGTGAGACCAAAATGACTTTAAAAAGAGAAACGAGGGCGTTTTAATGTCAGATTTGTCCAAGATGAAACCAAGAGATTTTACATGCGCCCTTTCCTATGAGCGGAAAAAACAGCGAATGTAGGTGGACTCTGTTTTTCATGAGAAGACCTCGTGTTTAAGCGGGAATACCGAAGTTATGAAAGTCCTGTTTTCTACCTCTGTGGTTAACAGAGCAGCTTCCTGCGCTGCTAACAGCGACACCAACACATATAAATGATCATCAGGCAAATGTCACTCGCACAATCTCAAAAAAAAGGTCGCAAATGCAGTCTGGAGCTCCGTCTACCTGGTCGGTCTAAAGCGTTTTCCAATTCAAAGCATCAAACTCAAAAAAATGAGTCATCCATTCATCCATCCATCATCTCTACAACTTAATCCTCACCAGGGTCTTGGGGGGCGGAGCCTATCCCAGCTGACTCAGGGTGAAGGCAGGTTCACCTGGACAGGTAACCAGTCTATCACAGGGCTACACTTAGAGACAGACAACC